GAGCGCGACGCCGAGGAAGTTTGGCCTTTCCGGGCACCCGTCGCTCCAATATGGCTGCCCCCAGGGCAGGCGAGGGCCGCCGGCAAAGTGCAGACCCCAAATCCCTCCCCGCATGGAGCGCCGCGCGGAGTTCAGCAGGTGGAAGGCGCAGTGTCTGAGAAAAGCGGACCTCAGCCGGAAGGGCAGCGTGGACGAGGATGTGGCCGAGCTCGTGCAGCTCCTGAATGGGCGAGAACAGTTTTTTACCACCAGCTCCTGCGCGGGGCGCATCCTCCTCCTGGATGCGGTGAGCCTGCTCGGTGCCCTCCCGGCGGCGCCTGCCCGCTAGTGGGAACCCACCCCGTGCGACACCCCGGTGCAGCCTGCTTGTGTGTGTCCTAGTGGGTGGTCTCGGTTTCTTTATCGGTGAAATTTAGAGGATGGATTAGACCAGGGCCTTAAAAACGTGAGTGTGTCTGTGAGTCACCTGGAGATCTTTGGAAAGTCCGGAGTCTGATCCTGTAGGTGTAGCGCGGGGCCTGCTAGTCCGCCATTCTCACAAACCCCAGAGTGACGCCGAAGCTGCTGGCCCGGGAGTGACCTGGCGGTGCTAGGGCTGAGGATGTGATTTTCCCAAATCGAAGGGAACGTAGACTCCAGCCTGGCCCAGCTGGCGGCTGCACCGCGGCCAGCGGGCCTGGGGGGGCGTGGCCGGGTTAAGGTGGTCCCGGAAGCGCAATGTCTATTATCTATCTATCTATCTTCTTTCTTTCTATCTATCTATCTATCTATCTATCTATCTATCTATCTATCGAATCTATTTATCTAGTGTGAGATGCGAAGCCCTGAGGCTGTGGCGTGATGCCCCGTAGATTCCAGCCCGGTTCTGGGAATTCCTGGCCGTGTGACTTGAGGACAGTTATCTAAGCTCATGCCCTCCCTGGGTCATGAAGTGAGGACAATAAAGAGCAGCGATCTTCAGCGACAGGCACACCGGCGTGCCGCACTAATTTGTAAAACATGCACGACCTGGCTAGTCAGGTGCCTGACCTCTTTTCCCTGAGGTTGTTAAATACAAAAATGACAACAGCCGTCAGTCGGTGTGAATGAATCAAAACTACACCTGGTTGTTGTTTTTTCAGATTGGCAAAAAATATAATTATTTTTGTGTGTGTGTGCTGCAGAATTTTAGTAATTAGTTTATGTGTGCCATGAGATGAAAAGGGTTGAAAATCACTGGTGTAGAGAAAATGGGGTCATTAATTTAAAAATCACCACTTGGGGATTATTAATTTAAGAAAGCCTACAATATGTTATGTATTCACTGTACTTGCTATTTATGTAAATGTATGACTACATTAGATTATGTTATTTTTCATTTTAGAATATAAATGGCTTTGAGGTTCAGAAACAAAACTGTTGCTGGCTCCTAGTTACACACAAGCCTTGTGTAAAAGATGATGTGGTAAGTTTTTATATGTAAAGTTAAAGAAATCACACTTTTTAATTCGCGGTCACTTTAAATACAGTTGAAAAATAGAAAATTCAAGGTGATTTTTGTGCATAGTTATAATGACTGAATATTATTCATAAAGCTTAAAGAGAATTCATTATGATGGTTTTTCTGAGTTGTGGGAGATAAAAGTAAAAATATGTATGCAAGCAATACTCCAGCCGCTCAACACAACACATCCTCTTGGACATAGCAGAGAGTTCATGGACATCGGACACATATTGGATCCAAAGATTGAATTTTATTTTAGCTATTCTATAACTCAGTAACCTGGTACAAATCATAGAAGGAAAAGGGAGAAAGGGAGCCAGGAATAAGTCATTAGCATTATCTATGTACTAGAGGCCCGGTGCATGGATTCATGCACAGGTGGGGTCACTTGGTCTGGCCTGCACCCTCTCACAATCCGGGACCCCTCGGGGGATGTCGGATAGCCAGTGTTGGCCTAGTCCCCACAGGCCTGATCTAGACAGGAGGGAGCCCGATCCTGTGTGTTGAGCATCTGTCCCCTGATGGTCAGTGCACATCATAGCAACCAGTCATTTGGTTGCTTAAGCTTTACAGTACCGCTGGCTCCTAACCGCTCACCTGCCTGCCTGATCGCCCCTAACCACTCTGCATGCCTGCTTGATCGCCCCTAACCACTCTGCCTGCCTGATCGATCACCCCTAACCGCCTCTGCCTGCCTCCCTGATAGCCCCTAACCATCTCTGCCTGCCTGTCTGATCGCCCCTAACCCCTTTGCCTGCCTGCCTGATACCCCTAACTGCTCCCCTGCTGGCCTAATCTCTCCTAATCACTCTCCCCTGCCGGCCTGATCACCCCTAATCACCTCTGCCTCGGCCCCTGCCACCGTGGCTTTGTCCGGAAGACATCCAGTCTATCTGGTCTAATTAGCATATTACCCTTTATTAGTGTAGATAGATTACCATTATACTGATATAAATAAATTATACATTACCTGAATTGCTTCTTGAAAATCTTTGTATCATGCTGGATGATTTAGTTGCCTAAATTGAAATGTTTAAATGAGTTCATATAAGTTTGTGTTAATCTGTACATTACTGGTTCAGGTGCTCAAATGTTGTCCTGTGGGTACTCATTCAACTTCCATCTCCTTCCTTGGGTACTAATTCTCTGTGCATATTTGTCCTTATTCTCTTCTGCTACAGATTATCTTTGTGTCAGGAAAGTTAGCTACTAGCAACCCCAGCAGAAAAAGACTTCAGAAGATTCATGTACCATTCCCAAAGGACTCTGAGCCATCCCCCGAGAACAGTTATTTTTGCCAATAGAATGGAATGCTATCCTTGATCAGACCTAGGCACTTGGCATCTCTGATATTATGATAGTGGGAGTGATGAGTGACAGGGCCATTATTAACAGTCCCGTGTGAAAGAGGGAGGATGCTGCCCAGGAATATTAGACAAACAGAAATAACAACTGCCCTATATAAATTCTAGCTCAGACATAACAGTCCAACTTCTGTCTAACAAGTATTTAAACAGACTTTCTACTATAGTCTTTACATACCCAGTTCCTTAATGGAAAAATCTGTTATGGAATTAAATACAGTAATAGTTTACTTTTGTAAAACGTGGTTGGAAAGAATGACACAGGAGGTATATGGGAGAATTAGAAATCAAGTCTTTTAAAAGAATAAGCAGATTAATAAGTTTTTGGAGAAAGGACCAAGAAAGCTGAGTGAAAAGTTATTTCGGGAACAGGATGCTGGAGGAATCTAAAAGTCCCGGGGTTCAAAAGAAGAGGATCATATATTTGTGTCTGATACTAACATTTTTTATTTAGATTGCAGTTCTGAAAAAAGCGAATGGTGATGCCACTTTGAAATTCGAACCCCTTATTCTTCATGTGCAGTGTCGAGAGTTGCAGGATGCACAGATTCTGGTAAAACTTTGTAATTACACTTGAATTTATTAGTATGTGGGTAGACTTAATCTTAAGCCTTACAACTTCTGCCAAAATTTAATGCAGTAGTTTAATCAAGTAGTTTTTAATTAACTATAGGTTTGGGGTTATATATGTTTCTGCAGTTTGTAGAGTTTAATGGTTTGTCTGATTAGTCAGGTTATCAGAATCTAACAAATTTATTTTTTTACAGCATTCAGTGGCAATAGATTCTGGTTTCAGGAACTCTGGCATAACAGTGGGAAAGAGAGGAAAGACTATGTTGGTAAGATACCTTTTGGCAAAAAGCAGTTCTTTGAGCATGAAGTGATCCAGGTTATTGAAATAACTTAGACTTGTACTTAGACTCCTGCCTTTAGTGTCTCCTGACTCAGATCTTCTTGCCATTCCCTGTGTCAGAAACCTTCAGTGACTTATTTATTCCTACAGGGCAAAGTCCCAGAGATATTAGATGTACATTTGCGGTCTTATTTCATAGTACTGTATACTCCTCCACTTTTAACCTGATTCTCTGTGCCCTCCTCATCTTAAATAGCCCCAATTTAATAAGCACCATGATATCATGGAAAGAATCACAGATAGGGGATCTGAAGTCCTCTGCACAAATACTGGCTGGCCCCCGGCTATGCTAAATGAACTTGGGTAAGCTCCCTCAGGGCCTGAATTTTCTCAGCTATACCAGGGGTCCAGCAAACTACTGCCATAGGGCCAAGTCCAGCCCACAGGGGTGTCAGATCCCACTACACCAATTGGATGAATCACTGTCTAAGATTGCTTTTGTGTTACAGTGGTAAAATTGCGTAGTTATGCCAGATACTATATGGTCCACAAAGTTGAAAATGTTTACTATCTGTCCTTTCTCAGAAAAAGTTTGCTGATCCCTGGACTGGATAACCGTTAAGGTGCCTTCTAAGCTCCACATCCTCTCTTAGTCTTTTCCTGGCCAAGCTAGCCCCTGGTGAATTTGCCTTATTCTGATCTGCTGTAGTATTTACTGATTGCATTTATTGTTTGACAGGACATGTATTATTTGCTCTTGAACTGGTTTCAGATTGTCCTCCATTCTAGCTCCCTAGACTTTTCCTATTTTCTATGCTGCTCACATCAATATTTCTTTCTCCCTTTCTCTTCCTTTCTTCCTAGTATCAATAAATTTAGGGAAAAAAGAAGACCCCTATAAAGCATGACGAACTAGAAAAGCAAAACCCATAGTACTGGTTTGTGTCCCCATCTCATTCCCTGCTGCATCTGGTGACCTAGCAAGAACAGAGCCATTCTTCTACCTTCCTCTCCTTTGTCTTCCATATTCAATTAGTTACAAGTCCTATCACATCTGCCTCTTATTTCTCACACCTGAGTCCACCTCTCCAAGCCTTCTGCCATTGCCCCTACTTAAGCCCTCAGTGTCCCTCACCTGTCTTTACAGTGGGCTCCTGACTGGTCTTCCTGCTGTCCTCCTTCTTCAGCCCCTCCACCCAGTACTGTCAGAATCTCCCCTTTTGAAAAAGTGAGGGTCTCCAAATATTTTCCCTGATATTCAAGGCCTTTCCCAAACTACTTTCCATCTGCCTTGTTGATGCTCTTCTGCTAGCATACTTATATTCCAGCCAAATAAAAATGTATCGTGCTCTGTCATGTCTCCATAACTGTAGATAAGTTGTTCCTCCCCCATTTTACATGTGGTAAAATTGAACTTATCCTTTAAAATCCCAACTCAAATGCCACCTTCCCATGAAACTGAGGCCTGTCTCATTTAGTTGTATCTCTTCTACATTTCTTTAATGGTTTGTGCGTGCACGTGGGCGGACATGTTTGTGTTTTCCCTGTCATAGCACCTATGTCGTGTTACAATTTTTTGTTCACTTGTTTATGTCTTATTCCAAAGTGTAAGCTCTTAAAGGAACCATGTTATATTCATCTTGTATCTTCACATCTTACATAGGGCCTACATTGCAGATGCTCAGTAAAGTTTCATTGAATTCATTTTTATTCCTCATGATAGTTTTGGTGGTTGTTCTTAATCTATATCCAGTGTTTGGATTTGCTTGTAACGTGCTGACTATTTCATCAACAGGATTACTAAGGTTGGCCCTAAAGCATCGAGAAAGCAGCCACTTTGTGAGATAGAACGGGCATGCCTTATTCTTATAACCACACTCGGCTCAGGGAGCACTAAGAGGCTCTTTCAAATCCAGTCCATTTTGATTTTCCCTTGAAGCTTCTGTTGAGATTTCATTTATTTCTTTTCTTTAAATAGTCTATTAAAGCTTTCTAAGCTTTAGTGAAATTGAAACTGTTAAAGTTATTGCCTTATTTGATAGTATCTGCTTCTTTGAAAAACAATGTAGAATGACTTTTTTTAGAAATGACTTTACATGAAGGGAAAATCTATTTAATCTCCTGTGATCCAACTGTGTTTAGCTAACTTATATCAAAGCACAAACCTAAATGCTGTAATGAAGCTAAACTATGTTTAAGCACAACCCTAACTTGGAATTTTCTTTAGTTATCTTCAGTATCTCTAGCACGAGTCATCATGTCTGAATTGCTTGTTCCTTGAAGGCTGTCCGGAGCACACATGGCTTAGAAGTTCCATTAAGCCATAAGGGAAAACTGATGGTGACAGAGGAATATATTGACTTCCTATTAGAGATAGCAAATCAAAAAATGGAGGAAAACAAGAAGAGAATTGAAAGGTACATTTATTAGATATTTTCATGTTATTTTTCTATGCCTAGATCATCTTTGAAAATATTAATATACACTGTCTTCAGTTTAGACTCCCAACTGCTTTTCTACTTATAGCCTTATCATGAATAATAAAAAGATGATTAAAGTAGGCCAGACTGTAATGGGTACTAAATGGGAGCATAAGCTACATGGAGGAGAATGGGACAACTGACTGCCAGCAATGGGTATAAGGGAGCTAAACATAATCACTCAGGTAGGAAAGCCCAGTAGCCATGGGGACCATAACTGATCAAGTTAAAAGCAACCATGGAAGAGGTGCACACTGCCCCTTGGTGTGATCCCCTAGAGATGACCTAACCCAGAATCTCCTTTTTAGGAGAATATAGACTGGTTAATTTTTAGCCTGATAAATATTTTACATCTCTGGTGAGTTTACTACCCATCTCTTATCATGGATTAGATCTAGCATTACCAGAATTGTCCTAGTAGTAAGGATTATGGCTATTAGTTCACATCTTTATACTTCTCCTGTTCTTAAATTTCACTCAGGATGAATACAATTTTTACAGTGCTTTCCTTTTTCAAATAATAGTTTTTATATACAGAAGTGACTCTTATGTTGCCTTTCTTATATAAGGACTAGAGGCCCAGTGCACGAAATTCATGTACTGGGGGGGAGGGGCATCCCTCAGCCCGGCCTGTGCCCTCTCACAATCCGGGAGCCTTCGGGATGTCTGACTGATGGCTTAGGCCTGCTTTTGGCTGAGCAGCACTCCCCCTGTGGGAGTGCACTGACCACCAGGGGGCAGCTCCGGCATTGAGTGTCTGCCCCCTGGTGGTCAGTGCGTGTCATAGCAACTGGTCGTTCCGCAGTTCAGTCGATTTGCGTATTAGCCTTTTATTATCTATATATACAAAACCCTACTATGCAAATAGACCAAACAGCAGAACAGCCAAACAACCAGTCACTATGACATACGCTGACCACCAGGAGGCGTGCAGACCATGGCGGGCATTGTCAGGCGGCAGAGTAGAACATGGCAGGCATCAGCCATGGTGGGATGGTGGAGCAGGTGAGTGGGGGTGCCAGACCAAGGCAGGGCGCTGGTCACTGTCATTGGGCGAGCCTCTGCTGGTTACTGAAAATTATTTGCTCCCGTGCACCCCAGTCCCACCTGGCGCTTGCACCTGCTGCCGACACTGACCCCACTCACACCCACTGCCAGCACCTGACGCCGGCCCCGATCACTTGGTGCCATCAGTGGGTTCGAGCGGCGGCTGCCTGCCCCAGTAGCCCCTTAGGGCTTTTCCACCTCCCCCTGCTCCTGAGGGGCAATCAAGGCAGCAGCCACCACTCACGCCTGCTGCTGGCGCTGGCCCCAATCCCTCCACATCATCAGCTGGTACCAACGGCCGGCGCCGTCAGCGGGGGGGAGCAGGGCTGCCGGCAGACAGGGGACTGGGGGCTGCAGCAGGAGGGGCCGGGCGGGGGCGCAGAGGATGGACCAAAACCTGCCCCTGTGCCCACCTCAACCTCACGGCCCACAGTTCCTTTCAAGGTGCACGAATTTGTGCACTGGGCCCCTAGTATAGGATAATACCACTGACCTACCATCAACAAGATGTGCATCTCTGAGTTACTCAGGCTGGTGTTGGCTGACTTGATATCATTTATAATTTCCTTTTCCCCTTCTCCCCACCTCCCTTGGCCACCTCTTAATCAGTCAATCTCTACCCAAGTAACTCTTGAATCATTATCTCTCCCCATCTGCCACTTTCTTCATTCAAGACTATTGCAATATTCACTTGTCTCATTGTAGAATGCTTCTAGTGTGTTTCTCTGCTAAGCGATTCTCCATATCACCATCAGAATCCTATCTGTAAAATACAAAGCAATTCTATTGCTTAACTTGCCTGCTTAAGTTTGTTTTTTTTTAATACCTAGAATTTTTTTGAAGTAGCTAAGGCTGGAAGTGCTGATGGCGGCAGTCTTGTGGTGGAAAGAGGTAGATCTTTTCTCTGGAGCTAGAGCTGAGTTCAGATCCAGATTCTACCACAACTTACTCAACTCCCTTGGCTTTGTTTTTCTTATATCTAACTAGGGGGAAATACTTATCTTAAAGAACAATTGTAGTATATATTCAATAGCATACCTATAATGATTAGTCCTGGCCCTGTCGTGTCATGGATTCTTCAGATCCAATAGCCCTTATTCAATGACACATGAAGAGAGTAAACCAATAATCACATCAGTATCACCATCCAGGCTTTCTCAACCAGGGCTCCTTATTTGAACAACAAGATTCACAAAATTATTCAAGTGACTATTTCTCAGTTCTCCCAACAACGGTACTTGTCCCATTCTCCATACATTGGAGAGAAATTAATTATTATATACAGTGGATGTCTCAAGGCATTAAGCTTAATTTCTAACAGAACTGTGGCTGAGAAAAGGCTAGAGGTTACCTGGCCACAAAATGCTTTGAACAAACATTCTAAATAAAGTAATAATTTCAAGTAAGCAACTGAAGAGTACCCTGTCATCCCACCAGACTGTAGTGTTTGAAATCTATGTAGGTACTTATTGGCACCATTCCAAACACTTACCACATCCATTCAATAGTATTCCGGTGAGGTTGTTGCTAAAGCATAGGAGGTAGCAAATCAGTTTTTCTGTTTCCTTACTTGAATTTCAACAAGATTATAAATATAGCCCAAGATCAAGTAACTATATTAGTACACCTGGTGAAGTTAATTGAGCCATGTTCACCAGCTATAAAATCAAATTATGCTTTAAATCCATTGACTCAAAGATATGTTTTGAGATTATAGTGTGCATGCTGCTATCAAGAGAGCCATGCTCATCACGTAAAATCAGTGAAAAATTAAAGAAGGGTAAAAAGTGTCTTAAGAGACTGATTAGAAGATTACAAGTGAATTCAGAAAGGCTGTACAAATTAGGGAGCTCCTTTGGGAACAGCTGTACTTTCAACCAAATGCAGAGAAAAAGTTACTCTTCTGATGTTGAAAAGAGAAAAAAATAATAAATACTGGAGGTAATGAGTTCTGCAATCAGACATCGAGTACTAAATTTGGACCAAAGTTTCACAATTAAAATAGCTATAATAAGAGAATTTTTTAAAGTCAAGATCCAAATGAGTAATATTTCATCAATAAGAAATTTTCTGCCAATGTGAAAAATGAAAGCCAAAGGCTAAAATATTTTTAATAGATAAAAGGTCTTGTTTGTGAAAACTAATTTCCAAGCCCCTTTTATTGGGAAAAGTAAGATAATTTTGTACATAATGATTTCTACGTGAAAAACGTAAAGTTTGAAGATCTACTTACCAATTACCAGAGGAAGGCTGTCTTTGATTCAGTTTATAAGAGACAGGACTGACGTGGGTCAGATGAAACCACCATTTGGCTATAAGCACAGTGAAAATAGCCATGTTCTTTTTACCAGCTATGTAATAAGAAAAATAAATGTTCAATAAAGTATAGAATAAAAGGGCTGAATATATTAGCATATAATATGGTTGGTAAAAATGAAGTAAATTGGAGAGAAGTAAATAAGTCTATTTTAGTGGTTGGGTGTTCTTTATTATTATTTTTAACTTTTTGTGGTTAAATATACATAACAAAATTTACCATATTAACCGTTTTAGTGTATAGTTCAGTGCCATTAAGTACGTTCAAATTGTTATGTAACCACCTATCACCACTATCCATCTCCAGAACCTTTACATCATCCCAAATTGAATCTCAGTACCCATCCTGTATAATAAAAGCCTAATATGCTAAGTGTCCAACCATTTGTTTGACTAGTCACTGTGATGTGCACTGACCACCAGGGGGCAAATGCTCCAACCAGTAGTTTAGCTTGCTGCTGGGATCCAGTGAATAGGGACTGGGTGAGATGGGCCAGACACCCCCTGGAGCCCTCCTGCATTCCCTCCCCAGCTCCGATTGTGCACCCCTGGGGTCCTTCAGCCTGGCCTGCGCCCACTCACAATTCAGGACCCCTCGGGGGATATCAGAGAGCCAGTGTCAGCTGACACCCGATCCCTGCAGGCCAGGCCGAGGGACCCCACCAGTGCACGAATCCATGCACCAGGCCTCTAGTTAAACAATAATTCCCCATTCTCCAAGCTCTCAGCCCCTATTAATCACTATTCTATTTTTACTCTCTGAATTTTAAATACTTCATATAGGTGGAATTAAAATTTTTTCCCTTTTGTGTCTGCCTTATTTCACTTAGCAAAATGTCTTCAAGGTTCATCCATGTTGTAGCATATGTCAGAACTGCATTTCTTTTTAAGGCTGAATAATACTCCATTGTATTTATATACCATATTTTATTTATCGATTAATCTGTCAATGGAAAATCAGATTTTTCTTTTTTCTGTTCACTATTGTGAATAATACTGCTGTGAACATGGGTGTATAAATATGTGTTTGAGTCCCTGCTCTTGAATCTTTTGGTGTATACCCAGAAGTGGAATTGCTGGATCATATGGTAATTTTACATTTAATTTTTTTTAAGAACCGCCATACTGTTTCCCACAGGAACTGTACCATTTTACATTCCCACCAGCAATGAGCAAGGGTTCCCTTTTCTCAACATCCTTACAACATATGTTGTCTTTTTGTATGTGTGTGTTGTTTGTGTGTGTGTGTGTTTAATAATGACCATTCTGACAGGTGAGTTGATACCTCATTTTGGTTTTGATTTGTATTTTTCTGGTGACTAGTGATATTGAGCTTTTTTTCATATACCAGTTGATAAGAATTTCTATTATATCCTTTCTTTTCTGCATCCCTTTCTTCTTAGCTTCCTTCTGGATGTTTCTTACTATTCTACCTATTGGTAAAATATTGTTGTACTCTAGGATTCTCTCCCTTGGCCCATAGCTTCAGCTACTTCCCCGTATACTGATGGGTCTTCCAAATCTTCCCCAAGTCATAGGCCCATATACCCAATAATTTTTTGAAGATATGTAAC